AGGCTGCCCCTCACGGCGCCGGGCTGGGCCTGCCCAGGGTCCCATCCCGTCTCCTGCAGTTTTGTTCCTCGGTTGTTTCCGGAGGCCCTTGTTTAGGAGCCGCCCCTCGGCCCCTCCTAAGACAGGCCCTCATGTGCGCTCTAGGGGTGCTGTGTCAGTGGGGTGCGAGCATCAGTGGCTCACAAGATAGTCCAGGCAGACCCTGGCAGGCCCCCGGGGCGCTGTGAGGCGGACCTGGAAGCTTGCTTGGGGTCTCTGAGGAGGGCAGAGCAGGGGCATTTTGGGAAGGTTTGGGGGAAGGCATTAGTCGGCTCGGGTCTGAGCACCTGTTACCATCTGGCTAGCCACGCGCCCACCCATCCTCCCTCTGGCTCCGTCTGTTCTCCTTGCTCTCTGGAGTCCCTGGCCTTCCCAGGAGCGTTAGGCAGACAGACCTGCTCTCAGGAACCCTGACAGCCGAGGGGCTGAGATTTTGGAGAGCCCGGTCCCCGCCTCACCTCTCTGTGCAGCCCAGTTTCCTCCCGTGTCCTCAGGAGCTTACTAGCTCACGCAGGCACACCTGGTAGCAGCTCAGAAGTCGGTCCCTGTGTGTGTGCCCTCAGCTGAGCCCCGGTGGCACCACGAGAGAGGGGCTCTTGCCCCTGGGTGCTGCCCCTTCAGCTGGGCAGGGTGGGGCGAGGGGGCCACAGGTGGCCGTGCTCCCCTGAAGGCTCTGCCGCGGCAGCAGCTGTTAACGTGGCCCCACGCTGGCAGTCGTTAGGACCCTGGTGGTGCAACAGTGAAGCACACGGCTGTTAACCGAGAGGTTGGCTGTTCAGACCCACCCAGCGGTTCCGTGGAGAAAGATTTGGCTATCTGTTCCCGTAAATATTACAATCTAGAAAACTCTACGAGGAAGTTCTTTGTTTCATGAGGTCGCCATCGTGAACACTGACTCAACAGCACCCCACAACCACATTGGCTGTTGTGGGAGGGAGGTGTGTTGGGCGGCCCTTTGTGCTTGGGCCATTGTCGTGCATGGGCGCATTGCCGACTCCTGCCCTGAGGCCTCCACGAGGGGAGGTGCCCTCCCCACAGGGTGTGCCTTCGTACAGACGCTGGGACAGACGGGCTGGGGCGCTCTGTGTGCCCCTCTGAGCAGTGCCCAGCTCACCCCGCCTGGACCTTCCGTGAGTCCTGCCGGAGCCCTAGGGGCAGCCTGGTTCCTGTTCCTCACCACAGGCCGCAGCGTGGGGGGCGGGGGGGTGCTGGCTCTGTCTTCCGCGGATGCCCCACCTGGCCAGGCCTCTGGAATTGCAGTGAGTGAGCTGATATGGCTGCACTGTCCCCCACAGTCTCGGAAGCCACAGGTGCACGTGGCACGTTCCACCCCCCCACCCCCCCTCCCCTGGATTCTCACTGTGGTCTCTGTCCTTCCTCCCCCTTTTCTTGCTCTCCGTCTGTCTCTGTCTGCCTTTTTCGTCTCTTTGTGTCTCTGTCTGTGCGGGCCTGTCTCTGTGGCTCAGTCTGGTTTCAGGGAATCCTCACAGGTAAGCTGAGCCCTGAACCTCAGCCCGTCTCAGAGGATCGGCACTTTGTCTGCAAAGTGCGTGGCCCACGGGGCCAGCTCACCCGGCGAGGGCAAGCCGCCCACACTCCGGGCCCTGGGGGTCTGGGGCCTTGGGAGCTGTGCTCGGAATGGCTGGGACTCCATCTGCAGATGGACCTTGGGGCTGCCTTGCTCGGGATTGAGGCCAGCCTGGAGCCGGCCCTGTGTGCTAGCGGCACGCTGCCGGCATCCCCCGCCAACCTTGACCCCGGCCGATCTGGGGGCAGGGAGCGCGGGCAGGGCTGGAGGCTGGGGGCGTGGAGGGTGTATTCTGGGCTGCATGCCCGGAGAGGGGCCTGGCGTTGAGACCGGCCTGCACCCGGCCCCAAGCCCGAGGAATGCGTGTGTGTCTGTCCCCACAGGTTGCTGTCGAGCACACAGTTTGCTGTGCAGGCTATGTCCAGTGCTGGCCTGTTCCTGCTGTCCCCCTCTGTTCTGGGTTGTGGACAGAGGAGTAGCAATGGGGACGCGCCACCCCTTTCCTCTCAGTGTCTGTTGGTGCCATACAGTGTCCACTGTGCGAGGATGGCTCCAGGCTGACGCGGCCCCCTCTGCGCTCAGCACTCACGCCCCAAGCTATTTTGGGAAGAATCGGGTGCCAAGTGACCCCTCTCTCCCCCCGTCCCCCCCAGGCCCTTAGCAGACAGCGAGAAGCTGCCCGTCCAGAAACACCGGAGCGCCGAGACCCTGCAGTTCCCTGACAGAGAGGAGGTCCCTGCGGTGGAGAAGAAAAGCAAGAAGCTGAAGAAGAAAGAGAAGAAGCACAGAGAGAAGGGGCGGGAGAAGGCGCGGAAGAAGGGGAAGGAGAAGGTGGTGCCTCCCGGGGCAGGGGTTCTCAGGGCTCCGTGCTGCCTTCTGAGCCTGCAGTGGGAGGGGGTCGGTGGGTTCCGTGTGCAGGGACGGGGAAGCCACTCCCGGGAGATAAGGCGGGCGGTGAGCCCACGAGGGTGGGTCAGAGCGTGGTGGGAGCCCCTGGGGAGAGGTGTTGCTCTGGCTGCCAGCCCATCCTCCTTGTCTGCAGGGCGATGACCTGGACTTCTGGCTGTCTACCACGCCGCCGCCAGCTGCCGCCCCGGGCCCCGCCCCGTCCCCGGTAAGAGCCCGACGGGGGCCGGATGGCCTTAGTGGACCCATATGCTTTGCAGCTTTGGCCGTCCCCACTTGGGCCGGGTCCCTTCCAGGGCCAGGTGCGTGGGCAGGGGTGGCCCAGCGAGGCCGTGCCGGCTCCCCAGTGAGTGCAGCAGTGGAGGGTGCTTGCCGAGCTCGGTCTCATCCCGGACACCGGCCACTGTCCGTGCTGGGTCCCGTGCCCACGGCGACGCTGGTTAGGGCCTGAGGACCATGGTTTGGCTGGGGCAGCCGTACGCAGTGTTCCGACGAAGCGCCAAGGAGAGGCTGGGGCCTGTCAGGATGAGCAGCCCAGCCAGCACCTCCACATCCTGGCCGTCCCAGACAGCAGCTCCCTGTCTCCTGAGTTGGGGCCCGGCACGGGGTGGGGGCCGAGAGTGCCATCGGGGCCTGGCATGGGGTGAGGGTCGAGAGTGCCATGGGGGCCCGGCACAGGGTGAGGGCCGAGAGTGCCATGGGGGCCCCACATGGGGTGAGGGCCGAGAGTGCCGTGGGGGCCCGGCACGGGGGGCCGAGGGTGCTGTGGGGGCCCGGCACGGGGGTGCCGAGGGGGCCGTGGGAGCCCGGGGCACCGGGGCCGAGGGGGCCCAGCCCTGGGGGCTGTTACAGGAGTGATGATGTTGTCCCTGTTCGCTTGCTACAGGATGAGCCTGAGGCAGACGCCGTAGTCGCTGCCCCCAAAGAAGAGTGTGAGGAAGCCAAGAGGGAGGAGCCAGAGAACAACGAGGATGACGAAGAGCAGGAGGTGGAGCAGGTGGGGCCGTGGGCCAGGCGTCCCCGTGTCCCTGTCACAGCTGCACCTCCTGATGCAGGAGGTCTGCAGGCAGGCCCAGCAGTGGGGCAGAGCAGGGCCGATGGTGGGGGACCCACGGAGAGCAGGGCAGCAGCCGGCGTGCACATGGAGGGCTGGTGGGCTGTGGATGGGCTGCGCCTACGCGGTGTGGCACAGGGCCCCCGGCCCAGCCTGGCTCCCGCGAATTGGGCCGGCTCATCTCACAGCTTCAGGTCAGCGTTCTGACGGTGGCCCGGTCATCACCTGGGCCTCTCCTTTATAAAGGCCTCACTGAGACGTCGTCACGTTTTGTAACGTTCCGCTTTTGAAAAACGTATGGGTTTTCAGTATCACAGGGTTGTGTAACCGTCACGACTGTCTAATTCCAGGACTTTCCATCGCCCCCAAAAAAACCTTGTGCCACCCATGAGCAGTCCCTCCCCAACTCCTCCGCCATGAAAAACAGTCACGTCCTGTCTGTATGCGTTTGCCTGTTGTGGACATTCTGTATCAGTGGGTCATACGTTACATAATCTGCTGTGTCTGGCCTGTCTCGCCGAGTGACGTGTTCAGGGTCCACCCATATCGTAGCAGGTGTCAGGACTTCGTTTCTCGGTGTGCCTGAGTCGTATTCCATTGCATGGGTGGACCACATTGTGTTTTTCTGTCACCTGTGGATGGACACTTGGGTTCTTCCCACCTGTCAGCTACTGTGAACAGTGCTGCTGTGACCGTTTGGTGCACAGGTGTCTGTTTGCATCCCTGCTTTCAAGTTTTCGGTATAGACTCAGGAGTGGAATTGTTGGGCCTTTATTTGGTGAGAGTCTTGCCAGTTCACCCCCTGCACCTTTGCTTCAATCAGCAAGGACCACTCTTCTGAGCAGCTGGTGCTGAGCGAGGCCCTGGGCCCCTGGCTCAGTCAGGCTGTGCCCCGTCTGTCCCCAGTGGACCCGGGGGCTTGGGTACTGCCTGCCATGTTTCCCTGGTGTCTGTGCGTTTCCTGGGTGCAGTTGGCCCCTGTGGCCCAGACCCTGTGACACTGGGGAGAGTGGCACAGGGCATGTCCGGGCTCTTGAGTGGGCATGGGCTTGCTGGGCACCCAGCTGGCTGGAGAGGCAGCCGGGCTCTAGGTGGGCATGGGCTCACGGGGCGCCCAGTTGGCTGGAGAGGCGGCCGGGCTCTGAGTGGGCATGGGCTCATGGGGCGCCCAGTTGGCTGGAGAGGCGGCCGGGCTCTGAGTGGGCAAGGGCTCGCAGGGCGCACGTTCCAGGTTGGGGCTGACCCTCAGCTCGCTTGCTGTTCCAGAAACCTTCTAAGCATAAGAAGAAGAAGCACAAGAAGGAGAAGGAAGAGAAGTCCAAAGACAAGAAGAAATCCCGGAGGAAGAAGCCCCCCAGTGAGGCAGTGGCGGAACCTGTGCAGAATGGCGCGCTGGAGGAGGAGCCTCTCCCGGTGAGGGGACGTCGCTCTACCTGCTCTCCATGCAGGCCGGCCCCCTGCACCCACACGGGGGGAGACAGGATGCTGCAGCCCAGCTCTGTGGGCCGGGTGGGTCGTGGGACCCAGCTGTGGGCGTCCCGGCAGGTCTGGCCGTCCTGAGTGGCCGTGTGTCCTGGGGCTTAGTCAGCCCTGTGCCCCCGCGTGGTGCTGCCTGGTGCCGGTTCCCGATGGGCCTCCTCATAGTCCAAGTGGCTCGCATGCAGGAGCACTCAGTGCTGACAGTCTCTGTCACCCAGCACTGAGGCCTTTTTCCTTCCTTCCCAGCCCATGTCCAGCTACTGCCTTCTTGCCGAGAACTCCTACATTAAAATGGTGAGTGACACACTGAGTGTTACACACAGGTTTGGAGACTGAGAGGGGCCACCTGGGGAGGTGTCGGGGTTCCCGAACGGCAGCAAGCCCCAAGGTGTGCGTGAGTTCTGGGATGTCACCCCAGTGGAGCCGCATGTCGAATCGCAGGGACCTGCTCGCTTCAGGGCTCCGAGTTGGTGGTGCAAACAGTGTGTTTGAGAAGGGAGGGACAGACAACAGAATGAAAGTGGAGTGGAACCTTCACCGCGGGTTCCTATGGTGAGGGCCAGGTGTCTCCCACACGCGAGGACCATGCGTTGCTTGTGGCCTTGTTCCTGAGGCGAGCTCGCCTTCTGGTTCCCCCCGCTGACTCAGCCTCTCTCGGCAGACGTACGATGTGCAGGGCAGCCTGCAGAAGGACAGCCAGGTCACTGTGTCCATCATCCTCGAGAACCTCAGTTCTAGTTTTCTTAAGAACATGGAGCTCAACGTGTTGGACTCGCTCAACACCAAGATGGTGCGGCCCGAGGGCGCTTCTGTGCACGATGGTGTCCCTGTGCCCTTCCAGCTGCCCCCAGGTGCGTGGTGGCGGCCGTGGCCCCCGTTGGGTGAGCTGATCTGTGTGCTTCCCCCTCGCCACCCTGTCCTGGGCCCTGGTCTGGGTGGACCATGCCTCAACTTGCCTTCCCTGCTCCCGGTCTGAGGTCTCACCATGCTTGAGTGCTCAAGGGCTATGCCTCGGTGGCCGCTCAGCCTGTGTCTCTCCTGCCCGCCAGGCGTCTCCAATGAAGCGCAGTTCGTGTTCACTGTTCAGAGCATTGTAATGGCGCAGAAGCTCAAGGGCACGCTGTCCTTCATTGCCAAGGTGAGCCTCGTGCCGGTGGCAGGCTGGGGATGGCAGTCAGGGTGGGCTTCTCCTGGGGGCGGCCCTGAGCCATGCCCCTCGTCACCCGGGCCACTGCCTTGGCTTTGCTGCAGAATGATGAGGGTTCCACCCATGAGAAGCTCGACTTCAAGCTGCATTTCAGCTGTACCTCGTACCTGATCACCACACCCTGCTACAGGTGGGCACCACTCCAGGGGAACCTGAGCGGGGGGCGGGTTGGGGGCACAGTGGGCTGACTTGGCTCACAGGTGACCTGGGGCTCCTGTTTGGTCACTGTGCAGCTGTACTCTGACCTGAGAGCCTGCAGGGGTGTGGCAGCATGTCCTGGCACATATGGGAGACCCTGGGGGCCCAGGAGCACCCCAGCCCCATCTTGTCCAAACCCGTGCCCATTGTGCTGCCCCATGTCCTCCCCACAGTGATGCCTTTGCTAAGCTGCTGGAGTCTGGGGACCTGAGTGTGAGCTCCATCAGAGTTGACGGCATCACCATGTCTTTCCAGAACCTTCTAGCAAAGATCTGTTTTCACCATCATTTTTCCGGTATGGGATTTAGTTTGGTGGAGAGATTGCATGGCCTTGTCGCACACAGGCACCCACCAGCTCCCGGCCCAGTCTGCGGCCCTGTCGTCCTGAGGCTCACGTGCTCTGGGGCCCCTGGGACCCCGGGGGCATATTTCTTGGCGGTGGGCAACGCCCAGCCGACTGGGGGCAGTGCCCGGGAGGGGGCGCCTGCCTGGGTAGGGGCGGTGGCCGGGGCCCTCATCCCGTCCGCCCTGTGCATTGCAGTTGTGGAACGAGTGGACTCCTGCGCCTCCATGTACAGCCGTTCCATCCAGGGCCACCACGTCTGCCTCCTGGTGAAAAAGGTGAGCCCCGGGCCTCCTGGGGGTCGGGCTCAGCACTCAGGCCCCTCGCCGGGTGTCTCTTTCTTGTAACTGTTGTGTGTCTTACGATCTGTGCTCTCTGGGTGGCGGTGCACCGCTGTCTTCCGGCTGTTTCCCACATGTTCTCTGCCTTTAGCTTCCAGCAGTTAGATGATGGTGTATCTGAGCGTAGATCTCTGGGTTTATCCTGTTTCGCATTTGCTAAGCTTCTTGAACCTATGCATTTACATCTTTTGCACAGCTGGGGACGTTTTCAGCTATTATTTCCTTAAGCACGTTTACAGCACTGCACTGTTTCCTGTCTTTCTGGGATGCCAGTGACAGGAATCTTAGCCCTTTTGTCTTTGTTCTCAAGTTGCTGAGGTGCTGTTCTTCCTCCCCCCCTTCCTCCTGTCCCCTCTCTGTGGTTCGTTGGGTAGTTTCTGGAGATCTCTTGTCAAGCTCATTGACTCGCCTGTCATACCGGTTCTGCTATTAAGCCTATCCAGTGAGCTTCATTTTGGTTATTATGTGTTTCACTTTAAGTGTTCCATTTGGTTCTTCTATTTCTTTGTCTAGATTTTCTGCTCATTTCAGGAGTGTTCATGATTGCTTGTCGGAGCATTTTATAATAGCTGCTCTAAGGCCTTTGTCAGATCACGCCAACCTCTGTCTCATCTAGAGTTGGTGTCATGTGAAATGAGATTTTCTTGGTCTTTGTATGCCGAGCGATTTTGTCTTCTTGAGGGCTATTGTAAATGGTATTGATTTGATGATTTCCTCTTCGAGGTTCTCTTTGTTGGTATAAAGGAATCCAACTGATTTTTGTATGTTTATCTTGTATCCTGAAAACTTTGCTGAAATCTCTTATTCCAGTAGTTTTCTTGTGGATTCTTTGGGGTTTTCTGTGTATAAGATCATATCATCTGCAAATAGAGATACTTTGACTTCTTCCCTGCCAATTTGGATGCCCTTTATTTCCTTTTCTAGCCTAATTGCTCTGGCTAGGACCTCAGCAAAATGTTGAATAAGAGTGGTGATAAAGGGCATCCTTGTCTGGTTCCCGTTCTCAAGGGGAATGTTTTCAAACTCTCTCCATTTAGGATGATGTTGGCTATTGGCTTTATATAAATGCCCTTAATTATATTGAGGAATTTTCCTTCCGTTCCTATCTTGTTGAGTGTTTTATCATGAATGGGTGTTGGACTTCGTCAAATGCTTTTTTTGCATCAATTGATAAGATCATGTGGTTCTTGTCTTTTATTTATGTGATGGATTATATTGATTGTTTTTCTAATGTTTAATCCTCCCTGCATACCTGGTATAAATCCCACTTGATCATGGTCAACTTTTTTTGATATGTTGCTGAAATCTATTGGCTAGAATTTTGTTGAGGATTTTTGCATCAATGTTCATGAGGGATATTGGTCTGTAATTTCTTTTTTTGTGGTGTCTTTACCTGGTTTTGGTATCAGGGTTATACTGGCTTCATAGAATGAGTTTGGGAGTATTCCATCCTTTCCTAGGCTCTGAAATACCTTTAGTAGTAGTGGTGTTAACTGTTCTCTGAAACTTTGGTACAATTCTCCAGTGAAGCCATCCGGGCCAGGGCTTTTTTTGTTGGGAGTTTTCAGATTACCTTTTCAATCTCTTCTTTTGTTATGGGTTTATTTAGTTGTTCTATCTCTGTTTGTGTTAGGTTAGGTAGGTAGTGACTGAGTTTCTAGAAATTTGTCCATTGCCTTTAGGTTTTCGAATTTGTTAGAGTACAATTTTTCATAGTATTCTGTTACGATTCTTTTAATTTCAGTTGGGTCTGTTGTGATATCACCCATCTCATTTCTTATACGGGTTATCTGCTTCCTCTCCTGTTTTCCTTTTGTCAGTTTGGCCAGTGGTTTTATCAGTTTTGTTGATCTTTTCAAAGAACCAGCTTTTGGTCTTGTTAACTCTTTCAATTGTTTATTCTCTATTTCATTTAATTCTGCTCTAATTCTTATTGTTTCCTTTCTTTTGACGCCTGAGGGCTGTCTTTCTGCATATTGACATCTGTTTCCCTATTTTCAGTGTTTTAGCTTTGATTTATTTTTGTGGCTTCCCTATCTGGCTTGATATCTGGTTGCTCTGTCCTGTGTTCTAGTCTTGGATTGTTATCTGATGTTACTGACTTTCTAACCAGAGGACTCCCTTTAGTATTTCTTGTAATTTTGGTTTGGTTTTTGCATATTCCCTAAACTTCTGTTTATCTGGAAATGCCCTAATTTTGCCATCATATTTGAGAGACAGTTTTGCTGGATATATAATTC